TCAGCCTTCTGAGTGCTGGGATCACAGGTGTACATCACCACTCCCGGCCCCGTGTGTTTATTAAATGTGATTCCGGAGACAAAAAGAGTGAGTGTGGATAGAATGATGAAACCTGCTTCTGTGTTAGGTAGAGCAACTCTAGGTCCACATAGGGCACAGCTCAATGCATCAGAGTAGGAAATCACAAATACTTGTTGGGTCCAATGGTTTACTTAGCAGCTGGGATTCTTTTGCATTGTCATATGAAAAAAAACCTTCAGAGGAAGACTGTGGCTAATACAAATATTAGCATCTTAAACCTGGGTTCTATCTTTTCCTATTTTGGAAATATTATTTATAAAAGATCTTTTACATGCCAATCTTAAATTACTACTGTTTTGATCTTTTTGTCACTTATTGTGCAAAGAATTATTGTGCCAGCTAATCTGCCAGTGACATTTAATCCTAGGGGAAGATAATCTACCTCCTTCCCAAGTTTATGGTAAAGATTAAGTGAGGTAGTACTCGTACATTATTTTTAAAAGGGAACTAAAATTCTATTATTTACAGTGATGCTGATGGTTGTTTTATTAAATTCTGCCTTGAGAAATATTTTGATTCCACTTTTTAGGTGAGAAAACTTAGGCCCAGGTAGTTTCGTAATATTCCCAAGGACTTACTACTAATAGCTACAAGAGAGAACTGGGACTCAATTATTACCATCAACTATTGTTGTCTGCAAACCTAGTGTTCTTTTCATTAGGTCATGCTGAGTGTTTCTCTCCCATGGAAGAAACTGGATTTTAACATTAGGTACACTGGGCCACAACTCACCAGTATTTTGCAAATCTCTACATACGTGGATGCTATCAACAATATGAAACTCATGAATATTTGGAAGTGTTCCCATCATAACAACACAGGATTTTCCACAAATTATTTAGATGCCATACCATATAACACACTTTATTATGACAACCAAAAAGCTAATCCAAAGTGACATTATGTGGGCAGATAATGAATCACTTGAAAAGATCATGTAGGTTTTGGATAGACGATATTCTTACTCATGGAAACACTTGGAGTCCCTTAAAACTTTGCCATCCTCAGAAACCAAGCAGGAAAGATTCACAGACCAATAATGTGACAAACTCAATTTGTGATAAGCTCACGGCAGGAGTGAGAGCTTTCTGTCTTGTAACTGTTCAGATGACTTTATATAAAAAGTAGAGCAGGAAATTATACAGAAGCTTCCTGTGGAGTGACACAGTCTGAAACCCGTTTTAAACAAGAGCATGGTCACAGCATGCTGCAGGCAGCCACAGCACACTCCACGTTAGCTGCCTCCAGCATTTGTGGGGACAACACAGGGCTAAGCTGCCAAAAGCACCAGAAGCTTCTACCTTGTGAGCAGTATCTAGTCCTATAGCAAAAAAATTTTTTTAAAAGATACTGACTCTTCATGCTGCAAAGTGTGGCACTTTTCTACTTGGTCATTAACAATATGTTCAGACGGCCAAGAGAACACAGCATTCTCTCTCTATTAATGTAATGATTATAAACAGTTTTTCACTAACAATATGCCAGACACTGTCCTCCTTACTTCATGTAAATAGTTCATTCAATTTAAGACTTACAACACTGATCGTATTTATTTTTTTCATATCTTATTATTTTACAAGCACAGATAATGAGACATAGAGATGTTACATAATTTGTTCAAAGTCCAGTATCTAAAGTAGAGTTGGGCCAGGAGGTCCACATAAGAGGTCTGAAGTGCTATCTGCCAAACCAAGAAAGATGTGCCAGGGTCACCACATTGAGTCTCTATTAATTTCAAGAATAGCCAAGAAGTTAGGAGAACAATCAGAGTTACAGTGTGTATCATGGCAACTGTGAGAATCCAAAATCAGGCACGATTTGAGGAAGTAAACTCTATGGTGTTCCACATGATTTGGTTTTCCAAGGTTAGAAGTTCCATAAGCTCACTCATCTTGTTCAAGAGTTCCACAGCCCCACTTCATTTCAAAAATAATATAAAACAAATACTTAATATATAGCATGTACACTCTTAGCATGTTGTAAATTTACCCTTAAATCATCAGCTAAAATTTACTTATTTAATATATATAAACTAATTTTTAAAAGACAGAAAATAATTAATATCAATATTCAACATACTACTTTTGCAAGAATGCCATTTTGCTGCTACCATATTGCAATGAAAAATATGACCTCTAAATGCCCTCGAGAATTGTTCACACGTACTGAACAGCATGAAAAGTGAATTACTTGTATGATCTTCAAATGATAGGCATGGTTCTAGTTTTTTTATTTATTTTTTGACAATGGCAATAAATTCTAACAGTGAGATTCTTTGCTTCCTATTTCTTTCCTAGAAATGTCTTGGAAGAATAAATTTAGCACTTTTATGTTGTCTTCACAATTTAGTAACATATATTATGATCATGGTATGGGAACTATATTTTTCATCACAATTAATCTCTACTTTGTCCTCTCATAATATACTTTTTAGCAATGTCCTTTAAAAACATACTAGGTCACTTCCTTCTACCAATTTACTAAACACTTATTAAGTTTAATATCAATATATTCCAATTTTACACTTACACTCATTTTTATTAGGATTTGTTTTAAGTATCTATACAATTGATTACTAATTCCAGCATTCTTACAGTCTTATATGTCTATGTTCCCCCGCTTACACTGGTTTGACTTTCAAAATTTCAACTTTACATTAACAGAGTAAAAGTGATTTTCACTCAGCAGAAGCTCTACCTCAAATTTTAATTTCTGATTTTTTTCTGAGCTACAATACTCTATGGCAACCCTGAGCAGCTGCTGTGAGCTGCAATTTCTAGTTAGATGTGATTATGATGATGAACGACTGATACTCTACATGGTTAAGTGTGGCTGAGCTATGATGTTTGATAAGTTATATAAGTTAAATATAATTTCAAGTGAACCCGTGTTTTACTAAAACTATACTTACTGGAAAGTAATATCATTGTAAGTCAAACTATGCTCCCAAATTCCCATATTCCTTAGCTAATAAAATATAATTACACTTATTACCTCAACTTGTGACCTGGCTGAATGTGACTCATCTCCCTTCCTCAAATATATATGAAATCTCCTTTTTATCACTCTCAGTTTCTTTGTCATTTATGTTAAATCTTCTTTTCAGGATACTTTTCACATCCTACTTTTTCTGAGAAAACTTTCTTTTTTTTTTTTAACCTCCAAATAAATATTAAAACCCTCTAGATCCTTAAACTTTGCTTGATTTCACTTATAAGATTCTACCAACATATACAATTATTTATCCATTATTTTTCACTCTTCATTAAACTGTAAATTCTTTGAGAGAAGTATCCATAATTGTTCATGTTTGCACCTCCTGTGGCACTAGCATGAATTCCAACCCTAAAGATACTGTCCAGAAATATTGACTTCATAATTGGATATATTATAGTATCAAGGGGTATACAAAATTTGGAAATCATAGGAAGATCATATTTTTCAGTTTAGGAAATATTACATGTAAGAATGGAAGCACGTGTATGCAGTCATTTTGTGCCATATTTTCCTTTGGATAAATGAATGCTTTGGGCTTTCAGTGACCTACACAGTTTTGAGTATGAGGATGATTATTTCTTGTAAAAAGTTTCTGACCTCACCAAACATAATGATGGTAATATTTTTAAGATTATTGCCCAAATATGTAGACATGTGTAATTTAGATTTGGAACTTTCTTTAAAATTCTCAGCAGTTTTCTCATATCCTCACTTAGAGTACCTCAGCTCTCTGGTTAAGGAGGCTGAAGGATACTTCCAAATCTAGCATTTGCAGAGTATAGAGTATTTATTAGCATTCCCTAATATATCATTATCCTATACATGTGTTGGTATTTGTTACTTTAATCAGATTTATTTCGGCACATTCTCAGTCCCCTCTCATGTTTAACCGTTTTCTCTGGTTTTGTTTCATACCCTTCAATCCATGCCTGGTGCTCATCTTCTCTATACCACGCCATCGCTCTGCATAATAGTACCAGTGACTTCTATTTCTGTTTCTTTCATTCTTACATTCTGTCGCTTCCTCTTTTCTTTTCCATTTCTTACACTGTACTCTGTGAATTACTAAGTTCTCCCCTCCACCGATAACATTCCTATCACATTTTCTACATATTTTCCCTACTCATATTCTAACCCCTTGGTTACCTACTATTAGTTGTTTCAATTTCTTTCTTCAATACCTTGACTCAGCTGCTGTGTATATTTTAGCCCAAACTCATTTTGTGTAAAAGATGTATTCCTGAAAATCCACAGATTAAAAAAATCTTGGGAGTAAAATCTTATTGCATATGCAAGAAGAAACTTATTTTAAAATAGCCTAGTGTGCAGTCAATTATGGGCTATCATTTAGATCCGTATGCACTCTAAACACTTTGCTTTAAGGTCCTCCACACTTTCTCTCTTTTTTGCAATCTTCTCATTGTAATTCGGGAGTGCGTGGATGACTCACTACTTCTAGTCCTTTTTGAAATGGTTGCTTAACAAATAGAAATGAAATCACTTGCCCCTTCCTCTTGACAACTGAGTTAAACCACATTGACTCAAGTAAAACATTGCTTTTGACCCAACCCTCTGCTTCCTCACTGCCTTTGCCATCTGTCCTCCTGTTCTCTGTTACACTACTATCAGGCTTCCTTCCAGTCTTTTGCTCTGCTTCTACTATAGGTGCAGAGTTTTCCATGCCAGTTTGCATCTCACATCCTACTTTCTTCCCTTCTAGATTTGAGAATGGATTTAATGTTATCTTTTCTTTTTTCTCACATGTGCAAAACGTGCCTCAACTCAACTGAGTTTCAAACACAGAGGACACATCTGCACCTGTCCCCACCACAAACAGGCTCCGTGATCTGTTCTTGTAAATGAATGATACCTTCTTCAACCCAAATGCCAAATGAAAACACATAATAAATGTAAATACTCACACTCGGCGTATTTCTGAAGTTGTGAAAATTCTGAGGGGCTGAGGTGGGCCCATTTTTCCTGGTTTGTCATGGCGGACACGAGGAGCTCTCTTACATACCAGGCTAGGGATTCTTTATTAGGGTGCTGGGCAGAATTGTATGCTTCAAAGATTCCGCATGGTGTACTTCATGATGAAATACCTACAGCTGTCAAAGTATACAATCTGTCCACGTGGAACTGCCGTGGATGTCTGCAGTTTCAACAATGTGTTACAGGACTGTAAGAAGAAAAACATACAGATCAAAAGATTAGCATCATGTTGCAAAAGGAAAATTGAGTGATTTTTATAAAATGTTAAGGACTGTCAGTCTCTGAGTAATGAATTTCAAATTTATTTTACTTTGTATAATACTAGATCTTTCAATGTTTGCTTTTATTATATTTGATTCCTATTTCCTAAGAGTAAATAATAGAAACAAAAACAATTAAGAGAACAAATGTGAAGAATATTTTACAAGGTCTAGCTCTACCAAAGTAAATTTTTATGTTAAGTTTTATAAATTCCACATTCCAAGACCAAGACATCATTTTTATCAGTCTGGACCCATCAATATTTTAAAATGTAAATATTACATTAAAAATCTAGACCCAAATCATTAAAGGATTATAAATCAGTACTGTAGGCCAATGCAAATAAAATTTGCTAATTTAATAGAGTTCTAATACTTGGTGGGAAGCACATATATTTGCAGTAGCACATATATTTGCCACCACGCAAGTTTATTTTGAGGGTCCTACAAATTCTTTCCATAACAATCAAATAAAGAGAATAATTTTAGTTTTGTGATTTAAAAAAAATCCAGCAAATTTGCCATATTGAAGTAATTTCAAATATTTTAAAGACTCTTTTAAATGACAGTAGATGATTCTAGTGTGAATCATTTTTTTAAATAAATCCCTAGGTTGTCATGGACTTTAGATTCACCAGCAAATCTGTAAAGGTAAACAAAGTGAAAAGCCATCTGTTTTCAGCTTTTATTGGAGACTGTAATCTGCTCCTCAGTAATCCATCAGACGAACATTATGGTCTTCATAGAAAAGGAAGTATTTAGAAAGAATTATCTAGTTTCTGATAGTATCAATAGGATTATTCATATATGCTTCATTAGCCAAAGTTTCAAGGTCCATTTGGTTTTATGGCCTTGACCTTCTTCTGCATCTCTTTGCTATTCTACAGTAGCAACCCCAGGGCCTCCTTGTCATATACACCCTTGTCATTCTCGCCTTAAAAAAAAATAACAGAAAAAAATCACTCCGGGGTGGGGGGCTCTTCTTCAAGCTTCTTAGATTCAGTTCTACAAGATGGCAGTTTTCTATTTAATGAGAAAAACAAAATAATACTTGTGTGAAGAGTACAAATTGTAGAGGAACCTAAAAGAGATGGGGGCATGAGATGAACATTCTTGTACGTCTTCTACCCAGTATTCTTCTGCTAATTTCATCGTTCACACTGATTTCATCCTAACTCTTTTGCTTCTGGCCAGTAGCTTGCAGCTTTGGTATAAAACAATGTGTTCTGTCCCCCTATCCAGGGGGAGACCGATGATTCAGTCACATTTGACACGTTACACGCTGTCTCCCGAGGCTTTAAATGTTGATTGGAATGATTGGAGGATGGGGTGAAAACAGCTGGACCTACATCAATACAGAAATAATTGGATACTTGTCCTTGTCTAAGTCTAACTCTCCAACTACTGCATTACCTGCAGAAGTTAGTGTCATTCTTTTAGTAAAGATTAATTGTATTCATATACCATGATATTGCACTGTATCCCATGCATGTGTACAGTTGTAATTTAATTAAAATTTTTAAATAAATATTTTAAAACTCAAAGATTAAATGGGCACAAATCTGTTTCTGTGGCCCCAAAATCTCAACTGATGATAATAGTAGTTGATTAGTTTGTTCTAACATTATCTGTTGTGCTCCCTTGGATACTAGCCAAAATTTTAAGACACAGAAGATATAGCAAAGATAAAACATATACAAGACACAAAAATAATGCTCACTCTAATAATATGTTAGCTTTATCGAAGGCTTACAGCATTGCATGCCACTTGACTAACAGCACTTTGCATTTCATTACTGAGGCTTCACCGCGCTACTCTGGGAGATGCTATAATTTCCCATTTCAACATGTGAGGAAGGTGACAGTGGGTAACTAGAATCTGGTAGGTGCAGCAGAGACTGTTAGAAGTCCCCTCAATATCCATTCTCCTTGCTCCCTTGTTAACAGGAGCCCAATTTTATTGGGTGTATGTATCTCCATGCATGTGACTGCATCTCCAGTTTCCCCTCATAAAGAAGTGGTCAAGAGTTGTAAGAAGATAGTGGTCCACCCAAACAGGAAAGTTTTATTGGAATAAACAGGTGGGAAGAAGTCTTTAAGCAATTTGATCGCTTACACCTTCTTCTTACTTGGATGGTGGCACATTGGCTGTAAACCCAGCAGTTCCTTATACTGTCAAGTTAAATTTCAGAATGGAAGCCATGAGCTCAGCAGAGGACATTCCAGTAAACTAGACCAGAGAGGGCGAACAAATGACAGCAGAACAAATTCGGGCCACTTCCTGTTTTAGTAGCTTAAAATTTAGTAGAGCAAAGATACTAATTAGAGAAACCAGCAAGAAGCCAGCATTTGGAGGGATTTCAATTCTGAGTACAGAAATTTGGACACTGTCTTGAAGGCAATAAGAAATAATGAGAGGACTACAAGAAAAGTCCAGAAAACTGATCACCTTGAATTTTGGAAAATAAAGTTAGTATCTTCATATGGTTTCATTCTTTTTTATTGTTACAATAACTTCTTAACTACCCATTGAGCTTTCTTCTTTTGTTAATGTGGTGAATTCCCAAATCCCACTTGTCCTTGCATAATCATGAGCTAAAATGACTCACAGGTCATCTGACAAGTTATCAGCAATTGATTAAGAAACTGTAATAGAGATAATTAATTGAGCCCATCAGAGCACAAAGCCACTTTTGTTGCCCCAAATTCTAGTGTCAGGAGACAAATATTGGATATTGCAAGTTAAACATTTTATGATAAAATATTATGTCCAAAGAAATAAAAAAACTAATGGAGAAAGAGTTTGTATGAGTCGGTGATTTTAAATTGAATGACCAAGTGAACTACTGCTCAGCAAATAGTATTATTATAAAGACTTTAGGATCTCAGTTGATTAGTCATTTTAAATTCAGTTTTGCTAGACTTAATTAACTGGGGTGTAGCTGGAGAATCCTTTCTTGGTGAAATTTTTTCACTAGTTAAACCAATACATCCCAAGCCTGTGAAAAGAGGAATGTTGCTCAGAGGTGTAGCTATTCTTCATGTTCAGAGGGTGATGAAAATGACAGCAGAGCTTACAGTTTCTGTCTCTTCATAAATGAGGAGAAAGAATGTGGCAATATTCAGCAGGGAACCCCTATGGTGCATTCACAGACTTTCTGTTCTACTGCAGAAGGCTTTCTTTAGGCACAAAAACGAGTGCCAGGAGGTATCCACTTTACTGGCTTTTGGAAAGCAGTCTAATTCTGGCTTTTTCATCTAGTCAATAGATGTGCCACTTTGCTTAGTTGTTGGCAAGAAATAATATGTTGGAGGAGTTGAAGAAGGCTCTTTGGCCCATTGTTCCTGGGCTAAAACACATTCTCCATAATTAAGGAGGAACGAGTCAATCTTTTCATGAAATAGCCATTTGGTAATATCTAGACAAATACATCTGATGGGCTAAATGCATTATTTGCTAGTCACATTTAAGTAGATTTTTAAATAATTATTAGAAGTCAGCCCAATCATTGAATAAGAGTTGTTTCCATTTTTTCCATTTTTATAATTTTTCCTTTCCCTTCTTTCCTTTCCCCTTCTCCTCCCACTTCCCCCACCCCTTTGGAATTTTTCTTCCTATTTCAAATTATCAAATATTCTTTTTAATCATTTTAATCCTTATTTACACTTTCAGTTTGTAAATAGGGAAGGATGGAGGGGGTGATGGGAAGACAGGGAATGGGGAAAAAATAAGGACCAAGATACATCATATATATAGGTACAAGTACCCAATGATAAATGTAAATATATTGTATACCTAAAATGTACCAATAAAAGAATTTAAGCGAAAAAAAAGAGTTGGTAAGCATTAAGGCACACTGAAGAACATGTGTATACAAATTTAAGGTGTTATAATGACTGGAAATATTCAGTGGGTCTCAAAGATTATAAACTCCAAATCGTATGGTAAGCAGTGGAAATATCCTGGAGGTCAGAAAAAGGGCAAGGCCAAGTATAATCACAGAACAGTTGAATGAAAAGTAGGATCAAACTAATGGATTATTGAATGCATGGTTTGTATTTATAAGTATGTATTAATTTAACTGTGGAAAGAATTCTAAACTGAGCCCAAAGCCATGCAGGGCACTGTGCCAGATGCTGGGGATATAGTGAGTGGCTAGGTAGACAAGGGATCTGAGCTCGTCGATCTTGTCTAGGATGCAGGATCTACATTAAATAAACCAACTGCCCCAGGTAAAGTGTAGAGAGTTATATGAAAAAAAAAGGCACCAGAATTCTGTAGGAATTCTGGATTTCTAGATCAGTTTGAAATACCCAGTAAGCAGCCTATAGAGAAAGATTCCTTTAAACTGAATAATAAAAGTTGATTAACAATTAAGCCCCTGAGTAAGGCCACAAACAGTCTGGGAAGCAGTCCAGAAGGGAGGGGAAAAACTAGAAATACTGAGAAAGTCTCTGAAGAAGGCAGCTGTGATTGGACTCTGGTGAGCAAGAAGCAGCAGGAAGACTAGATGGAAAAATAGGTCAGGCAACATCAGGACTCTCCTTAGGGGTCAGATTAAGGATAGTACATGATTTTTGAAGTAAATGCTGAAACCAATAAAGGATTTTATTCAGAAGATTAACTTTTCTGATGAATATGTTAAGAAGTCCACTCTGACCAGGGGATAGGAAAGGGACAAGAATAGAAGCGGGAAAATCATTTAGTAGGCTGTTCCAGTACTAGAAAAGAGCTCATGGCTGTAAGGGGAGACGTGGCCTTAAAGATGAACTAAAAGGCATAGTCTAGATGTATATCTGAAACATAGTTTGATAACAAATAAACTATGTTGTACTCAAGATGAGGGAAGTAAAAATGACCCCTATATTTCTGGCTTCAACACAAGAAATAAAAAGGTAGAATTTGAAGAATTCTTCAATAAGAGAG